GATTCCAGTTGAACAGGTAAAACTTTGGACTTCTACCTCTCAATCTAGGAAGAGTTAGCCTTAGGTTTATGAATGAAAAATGCTCTACTCATGGCCCTGAAGCTACACATATAATCACTTTGCATTTATGTTGTGTGTGCTGAGAGAATTTGGAACCTGAACATTAGAAAAAACTTAGGTCAGGAATTAGGGATGGAGAAATTCTCTCTCATTTCTGAGAGTTAAGTCAAGTTTTTTATATGTCTGGATTCGTCTCTTGATGCTCTACATTTTTGCTGTTATGAGTTTTACTTGAAAGTCCAGGAATCAGGAGTTAGGAAACGCGCGTTTTCTTTGTTTTAAACAAGTCTGGAGGTTGAAGACAACTCTGTTGGGTTGGGCTTGGTTCCTTTTTTCTGTTTGCACCTCACTTTTCCACATACACCCCCTTGGCCCATTGTGTTTATTTTTATCCTTTTTTGACTTTTTCTTTTTGTTTCTGACTTGTTATTTTTTGTTAAAATATAAAAAACATTAAAAAATATTTTTCATCTTCTTTTTGTATTTTTTAGGCATTTATTTGTTTTATTTGATATATGTAAATAATAGGTATTTACTTTTTTTATTCAAATATTAAAAAATAATACAAAATACATTTTTATGTTCTGATTTTATTTTACTTTATCTTTTGAAAACATTTTCTAAAAAATATAATTTTTTTGTAAAAATTAAATATTTTATTTTTTGTACATATTTAATACATTTAGTAAATAATATAAATATATATATGTTTATTAGAATATTTAGGACAAAAAAATACAAAATAATACATTTTTATTTTTATTAATATTTGACTTCAAAAATCACTTTTTACAATATACTTCTTCCTTTTATTTATTTTTTGTACATATTTAATACATTTAGTAAATAATATAAATATATATATGTTTATTAGAATATTTAGGACAAAAAAAATACAAAATAATACATTTTTATTTTTATTAATATTTGATCTCAAAAATACTTTTTTTTACAATATACTTCCTTTTATTTATTTTTTGTACATAATTAATAAATATTATATATATTAAATAATAAATACCTTTTATTTAGCAAAATTAGGGTTTTTGCCCTAAACATGAAAATATCCAAATTAACTTTTTTTTTATTTCACTTGTGAATAAAACATACACTTACACAAAAATATTTACACATACATATTGCTTTATTCTTATACATCTTTACATTTACATTTGCGCAATTCGATTTGGTTGTAAATATTGGACACTATTCTCCTATGAAGTCTCATCCCCATTTGAACATTTGTATCCCCTTCCCCATGATCATTGTGTAATAATTTAGGACTTTAAATTCCGCACTTTAAAGCTTTCTAAATATGCCATGATAGACTTAGGGTTTTGTATGCAAAAATCAAATAACAAATAGCTTGACCTAATTCCAAGATAAAAGCATGAAAATGAACAAACACCAATCACACTTGCACCCCTAGGGTTACTCCACTTGTTGCCTTCAATAATGGGCCATGTTGCATGTTAGGTGTCTTTGGCAAAAACAAAACAATATCAAATGATCATAGTCCCTCGATGACGCTTTCGAAAGTTGCCTAAACATGATCAAGTCCCTTAAAGGAAAAAATGCCCAAAGACACTTGGCACCATTGCATTCATGGTCTAAACGATGACCCGCGCCTGTCCCGTTCACATCCTAACACAAGATTGTCCACCAAATACAATGGTGGAACAAAATTGTTAAAAGGGTTAAAACATAGCAAAGATCTTTGAGTAAATTTAGGAGTAGACAACTCTTGGTTACTTGCCAACTTGCAAAACAAAAACACTTGCCTATTTTTCAAAACCACACATCACAACACACTTTCAAAACAACTTTCAAAAACATTGAAAACTTTTCAAAAGATAGTACACCTTTGTATACATCCCAACATGGATCATTACAAAGGTTGCCACCACATTGGCCTCTTTTCAAAAACATTTTCAAACCCACACACACAAAGCACCATTTCAAACAATTGAAAATCAAAGGCAAGTGATCTAAGCAAGTAACTAAGAGCCCATGGATAACCATGGATAGAAAGGGTGCTAATACCTTCCCTTTCTATAATCTACTCCCCGAACCCAAGAAAACATCTCAAAGGTTTTTGCTGTGCTTTTTAACCTTTCCTTAGGATAAAATAAAAAGTCGGTGGCGACTCTTGCTCAACCGAAACATTTGCGAAAACAAACGCAAAACCTCAAGTCAGTTCTCCCACCGTATCACAGTACGGATCGAACCCACTCTTTGGCATAGTAAGATCTTATCTCTCGCGCGCTTATCACTGGGGTGGCCGTACATCCGCTAACATCAGTGACAACAATCAAATATATTATAAACCCAAATAATTGTACCGGAGAAGCGTCAGAGCCCTAGCTTTGGTCATCTTCTCCGACGAGCACCTACTTCGTTCCTGCAAAATAATAAACATTAGAGGTTCCAAAGGACCCTACCCCCCTAATTTGAGCCTTGTGATTTCAATGGCGCCATTAGTTTTGGCTGAAACAGTTGTAGAAAGAGATATGATGAAAATAACATGAAATGACATAACCATGTCCATTCAAGATTCAGCCATCATGGGGCTCACACGATGCGTTTTCCTGCATATTGGCATCTCAGAAACACGTTAGTGGAGTTAGTATGCATTAAAACACAATAAAAACAGAAATATGAATTCATGCAAGAATGGAAAACAGGCGCGGAATGTATGATTGTTTCATGCTCTTTGTATCATCACAAATAATCAAACCTTACCCTATAGTGCTCTAGAAGTGAATGAAAAGGTTGGTTTGCTTTGAAAGTGGCAGCAACTAGGGTTCTTGATTTGCCCTAATTTTTTAGAGTTTTTGAGATTTTTGGAGAGGTTTCTTGTGCAAGGGTTTCATGGCTTGTTATGTCTAAACAATGAAAATATATAGAGCTTGAAATTAGGTCAAAAGGTTGGGCTTGGACCGTTGTAATAAAGCCTTGTCTTTATCTATTTAATTTTGATTTTAAATAAATAAAAAATAAAAAAAATAAAAAATCCAAGGGGTGTATGAATTGTTTTAGAGGCCTATAACATGCATAAACCTTGAAACACAAGCCCACTAGCCCAAAAATTCAAGTTTGATCACTTTTGGTTTCATGCATTTTCTCAAAATTTCCCAACTTGCACTAATCATAACTCTCTCAATTTTTATGATTTGAAGGATATCTTTGACTTTTTGGAAATCTCAATATGTCTCATACAATCTCTATGTTAATCACTTTTTTCATTTGAAGGATTTAATTTCATGTAAATTGCTTTAACCAAAAGTGTCTTTTTATTGACTTTTGAAATGACCTATAATGTTTTGACCCATATCTCTCAAATGAAGAATTTTTTTGGACTAGAGCTTAGAGAGACAAAGTTGTAGAAAATTGAATTTCCTTCAAAATGAGCTTTGGTTGAGAAAATATGATGAAGCATGTGAAAGTTGTGCTTGGTCAAAGTTCAGTTGACTTCTCCTTAAGAAAACCCTAATTTAGTAACTTTTGACTTTTGACGAATCTTGAGTTTTCTTGATGAATCATGACCAAACCTTGATCAAGTGGTGAATATGACTTCAAAATCTTGATGTTGACCAAAAATCTTGAAGTTTGACTGTATGTTGACCATAGTTGACTTTTTACCCAATATAATTGATTTTTAGTCATCTGAACAATTGATTGAGCAAACTTGTGATGCAAGGCTTGAAATTTGGCATGAGCATTCCTTGAGACATTGAGGAACCATGAACTCCACTTGAGGCATTATAAGTCCAATCTTCCTTTGAGAAAAGTGAAACCCTGGTTGTAGGTCCATTGTTTAAGAGGAGAATTTGTCTGATTAATTATTGAGCAACCTTGAGCATTTGAGAACCCCAGGAAAATGTCTTGAATAACAGGAGGACAAGTTTTGAGGTACAACAAGTCATTGGCTCAGTTTGAGAAAGATGGGATTTCATTTTTAAGTTGTGTGTTCTTTCAAAATTGAAGGCTATTTATCATAACTGTGATTATGATTATTGTTCAACGAGGTTATGGATTCTATATCGCAAGAGTGAACAGAATATTTGGAAGCTCATGATACAATCGGAGGAAATTGTCATTAGGCATTACAATATTCTTTACGAGAAAATATCCCATATTCACTAAGCTTTCAAGTACAATTACAACATATAACTCGGAGGCATGTAGATTCTTTATGGTATCAACAGGTTAAACATCACTTAAAAACATTGAAAAAACATCCAAAGATATCATGACAATATAAAAATAGGAGCCATTTGAAGAAGATCATTCTTTAACATGCTTCAAGGAAATTTGTAAAGTTCCCGAGGGGTATTCATAGAGATTTGGAATGTTAGAAACAAAAAGATGGACTTCATTCAAATGTCATTCAAAGTTACAATCAAGATTGATTTATCAAATTCTATCAAATTCATCCAAAGATAAAAAATATCATACTTTCATTGTTCAAAGGTGAAGCTGCAGGATTAAATCCTATATAAAATTCAATGGCATTACAATAAGATTTCTTACACCACAAAAATCATAAAAGAAAATCTATTTTAATCCTAATGCTATTAAGCTTCATACAAATTTTCACCAGACTTCTGCCAAACAAGAGTTTATCGTACCAAATAGCCCTCACGCTGCAAGCTTTCAAACCGATCTATCTCCGTCAAATGACTGCACAAGAAAGTTTCCCGTAGAATAAGCTGAACCATGCTAAACACTTGGGATATCCCTGCATTAAGCCAACTTGTTCAGCAATCAGTTTACTAAGTTCATGTTAGCAGTGGTGCAAACCAAAGGAAATATCAGAAAAGTGTACATCAAAAAAATCGTGACAGTTCATGTTAACACTAGTTCACGTTAAAACCCATAAAAAACCAGTCAACAAGAAAAACCAATAAACTAACTACAGCCCTGCATCCATTATCCAGTTCAGGAAAATATTCAGAAAGTATAAAATCAAAACCAAGCCAGCTTCATTTTCGGTTCATCCGCATCTCAGTTCAGAAAAAAAATCGTGGAAAACAAATAACCAACTCATAGCTATTCTAACAGATTTTTTTTACCTTCCACTCTCCGTTGAGCTGCATCTTCATCGCACAATAAGTCTGCAATCTGCATCTTCGTTCAACAACGACATCACAAACCCAAATCAAAAAACAAAAGAGGGAATCGGAGAAAGAGGAAAACATAATCGTTTGGAATGATAGAGTAGAAAATACATATCAGAGCAGTGAGCGTTCTATGGTTTCTCATCCTCGCCACTGAAGAAGTCGTCGGATCGCCTTCGATAGGTGAGTAATTTATTCCTTCAACCGTATCTTTTCACTCTCTACTCCAAATTGTAGCACAACGTGTACCCAGCAGAGGACCGAGAGTGTATCGAATTATCATCCTTCTTTTGCTTGAATCATGAACTACGTTGAAACGATGAAGAGGATAAGACGAAGTTGTGATAAAAATAGATTTCAGACGATCTGAAGAAGTTTGAAACCAGAGGTATGAGATGGAGAGAGCAAGACGGAGGTATGAAGGAAACGGTGGTGGATCGGAGGGTGAATCTCCGGTGAGATTAAATTTGGCGCCGTCTGTTTGAAGAAGAAGAAAATCGCTGCACCGTTTTGCAAGGAGGAGGAAGAAGAGAGATTGCTTCATGGAGTTCAACAGACACCACGTATAACCATATTCCCTTTCTTTTTCACTAGTTGGGTTAATTTTTATTATTATTTATTTTATCCATTTATGATAATAAGAAATCCAAAAAATTTGATGGTTTGACATGGAGTTCGCTGGGCCAGACCACTCCAGCCCAATGCGTTTTTTGGAAGCCTGGTGACAATTGATACAAAAGAGGCTTACTGGACCTTTGAATGGGCCTAGCGCCCTACTTCTGCACACTCCTTGTATTCCAGTTTGCAATCCCCCTTGGGCCTCTTTTTTCTATTTTGTAATTTCTTTTGAATGATTTTGATAATTGTTTAGATTTGTTTGAACTTATTCTTCACATGATAAAAATAATAAAATAAATAAAGATTTGTTAGATTTTTATTTGATTTTATAAATAAATTCTTGATTATTTGATTACTCGAGACTTTTGATTCACCTTTATTTGTCGAGATCTGAGTCTTATGCAGGTTTATTATGTGATATGAGGATATGCTTGAGTTCCGATTGTGATTTATTTTCACATCGATGATACTTCGACGCTTATTCCAAGCATTTGATTTATGACTCTTTTCATTGATTGGTGAAGCTTACTCGAAGTTTTCCGGGTTTCTCTGCTTTGCTCGCTGTGCTACAAACTCTTGTTCATTTGGTATCATTTTGATTTTGATTGATCTTTCTGTATTTTACAGTTTTTCTAGATATCATGAGAAGTAGGAAATAAAGAGTGTGCGCTTGAAATCGCTGTTTAAAGACATGTGACAGGCATTCCGCACTTATTTGCTACTTGTGTTTGTGCTTGTGGTTGCCTCATTTGTTGACAATCGATGATGTCACTCAATTGAGAAAACGACTTCAATCTTTGCATGCTCCCCGTAGGATTTCATGGCTTATTTCTTTTGATGATCGATGATGTCACTCAATTAGAATTGAGATAACGTCTTCTATTTTTGCATGCTCCCCTTAGGATTTTATCGTTTTCCTTTATTGATGATCGATGATGTGACTCAATTAGAATTGAGATAACGACTTCAATCTTTGCATGCTCCCTTAGGACTTTATCGTTTTCCTTTGTTGATGATCGATGATGTCACTTAATTAGAATTGAGATAACGACTTTGATCTTTGCATGTTCCCTTATGCTTTGAACTGTTGTATGTTCCCTAAGGATCGCTCAATTAGGACAACTTTCGAGCTAGACATTAGGATTGCGATCCATGCATGCTAACATATGATAGAGATTTCCCTTTCAAAAATCAACCTTAGGATCAATTATTGTATGATAACATTAGGGATAGATTTAAGATAGTCTCCCTTAGATGTTTTTTCTTTCTTTTGCATCCTTGCATTAAGACTAAAATTCTTTTCTTGGAAAATGCATAAAACATTTAACAACTTTCAAATCCTTTTTCAAGGTAAAAAAACATCAACCAATACAAAATCTTCTCACCTTCGGGCCTTTCTTTCAAACTTCAAAAGTATGTGTTAATTCTACTATATGCAATACGACACGTAAATCCCCAAAGGTCGGGTGGAACTATGTTTAAATTGCTAGAGCACGAGTGTAGCATTATCTGCCTTCAGGATATTTTCTTTGGAAATACCTTGTTAGGTAGAACATGTTAATTCACTTCTGTGCTGACACGTAAATCTCCAAAGGTCGAATTGCGGCAGAAGAAGAAATTAATATTGTTCATTAAAAACCACAAAACAAACTGAAACATGCGAGTCGAACTACGACACTCTGATTCCTTAAAAGGGATATGTAGGCATTTGGTCACGAGGCTCACTCGAGCAAAACTTTGTAAATATTTCTTTCTTTTCCCCGTGTTTTCTTTTGCATGCATTCCTTCTTTGCATTTTCTTTTTATCTCTTAAGCATTATATTTAAACACACCCTTTAATTAGAATAACAAGAGTGGATACCGTAAAGTACTACAGGTGTATGAGGTGCTAATACCTTCCCCTCGTGTAACAGACTCCCTTACCCGATCACTCGGTTGTTTGACGTTGATTTCACTCTTCTCAGGTTTACTCGATGTTTACCTTTCCCTTCCTGTGGGATAAAACTGTTTGATGGCGACTTCATTGATTTCATCTCGATGATTTATTCAGTCGGTTGTTTCAATAATGAGATGAAGATTCAACGGAAGATACACCAATATACAAAAACAAGATATTACAACAAATAACTAGAACTTATTTGATCACAAGCTTTCCTACATAGTTGTTGTATTGCACATAGTCTTGATATTCCTTACTATTGTATATCTTAGAAATATCAAGTTACAAGGTCTCTGTTTGTGTTGTATTGTTTGTGTACTTCTGAATGTATATCAAGTACATCTTGTTGTAAATTCTAAACATTTTGTTTAGAATTTGTAAAGTCTCAGACAGAGTGTTTGAGAAAGGAATTCTTGAGCTAGGTTGCTTGACCAAGGAATTCATGAGCTGACATGTTTAGGAAAGGATGTCTCGAGCTAGGTTGCTTGAGCAAGAAAGTTATGAACTGGTGTGTTTAGACACAGAAGTCTCATTCCGGTTTGATTGAGCAAGGAAGTCTTGGATTAGTGTGTCTAGGAAAATTGTAATCAAGTTTGATTATGCTGAAAAGATCTTGTGGGACAAAAGGACTGGACTACTCTCGTTATAGAGAAACCAGGACAATGTGTGTGCTTTTACTTGTTCCTTATGTCCTTTAAATCATCCAGCTGCTATCTACTCTAGTTCAAAATCTGAACTTGTTCAGTTCAAAAGTTGTTGTCAAAAGAAGCAAAAAGTTCCCTCGTACACAGTTTACCCCCCCCCCCCCCCCCCCCCCCCGGTGTATTTTTTTTCACCTTCATAAGGATTTTGAGAATCACTTGGTACTAGAGGAGTGTCGCAGGGTGTCAGCTCCTATACAATGGGCTTATGCTGACGACTACATAACATGTGAAATTCTGGCAACAGATACTTAATGTCACAGTGAATGTTGTGACACCGTATCTGACAATCTTGTACACGCACCAAACAGTAATTTAAAATACAGTAAAGAACACAATCAATTGTTAACCCAGTTCAATGTGTAACAACACCTACTCTGGGGGCTACCAAGCCAGGGAGGAAATTCACTATAAGAGGTATTAATTTAGGAATAAACCAACCAGTTTATCTCCTTTACTTAAGACCTATCCAATGCAACTTCAATCTAAGTCCTACTTAAATCTGAGTTCCTACTCACTCCCCCTCAATCACAGCAGTGATACTAATCTACTGATTAATAAGATTATGAAGACATTCTTCAATACAAACGCTTGATTTTGCTTCAAAGCTTTAATCAAGAGACACAACACTCGTGCTTCAAAGCTTTGAGTGATAAACAACCCTTACAACCAAATCCCAATCCAAGTCACTTATCAAACTGATAATTGCTTGGCTCACAGTAGTTACAACTATACAATGCCTTATTGATCTTCTATCAAAAGCGCTGCTCACCATTAGGCTTCGTGAGAAATATATAAGCAGACTATTCTTCATTTAGGGCTTCCATAAAAATAGCTAGGGTTAACTAAAGTTAACCTAAAGACTTGGTATTGGGCTTTCATCATAACAAATTAGGGTTAAGCAAGGTTAACCTAATGTCCACGTGAGCATCTAATCTGGACAATATTCTTCAACTCAGAGTAGCACACCAGATTCCTGAAAATTCTCAGGAATAATAAATCTGCACAACAACTTGACCAGTACAGGATGTCTTAACATTGGTTATGACATCATGTATCTTGCTCACTGATTTTGGTAGAATTCAGTACATATGATCATAGCTTAATCATCATGATATTCACTCATACTGAGTTGTTCCTGTAGAACATTCCTTCTGCAGAATTTACCTTTATCCCAGAATGTTATGACATCAGTCATGACATTCGCAAATCTGGTTTTACCAAAAAATAATGCCAACAAACAAACACTTACAAACTCCCCCTTTGGCAAATTTTTGGCTAAAACCCCAATATCTAATTCTACCAAAATTACCACAATTTCTTCTCCCCCTTTTTAGCCATAAAGAGGCCAAAGGTACTAGTACTTTAAGTTATACAGTCATCCAAAAGGAAATTCAAAATAAACACAGAAACAGGGAGAAGGTATCATTTAGCAGCAACAAGTTCCAGCATCAATCTTTTCAGCAAACACAGACCTTCAGGTACTGTCATCCCCTGAGGAAGCACTATTTTCAGCAACATCATGTTGTTCTTCATCAGCATCCTCTTCCCTCATTTGTTCTTCATTCTCCTCCTATTCCAGACTAGCAATCAGGTCTTCAAGAGTCCTTTTTCTTGCATCAAGCTCTCTGCAGGTTTCTTTTAGAACAACTATAACATCAGCTTTCTTGGAATGAGCTTTGACATTTGATGTCTCCGCAGATGTCATGACAATGTCATGGACATGTGTTCCCTGAAACAGCTTATAGTGAAAACCAAGTGCAGGGGCTCTTTTGCACATAGAGTCCTTTTCAACCAGGATATCAGGATACTGATCAATGATTATACCACACAAGAGAGAGGGAAAAGCAACGAGGCCTTTAATAGCACAGCTCTCAGCATGTTTCATTATTTGATCAAAGATGTAGTTGCCATAATCAAAGTTTATTCTGGTTCTAACAGCATAGATAAGTCTTCCCAAACCAGTGGAGATGGTGGATTTGTGGTTGGTGGGAACCCAGTTAGCTGCACCAATTTTGTGCAGTATGGCAAACTTCATACTCAGCTTGCTTGCAGTTAGCTTCCCTTTCAAGGGCCAGTGCTTGACTTGCTTGGCAGTGATGGTTTGACAAACCTGGTTATCAGTAACTTCAAGCTCAGGTTGAGCATCACCAGGCCTTCCTAGGTATTTGTTTATCACAGTAGGGGAGAAATTTACCTTCCTTCCTCTCACATAAACACTCTTAAAATCAGCTGACTTTCCATCAGCACAACCACCAGACAAATTTACTATGAATTCTTTGACAA